ACGAGTTCCCCCAACTATTTCTTGGCTTTATGCTGCGTTGCCTGTTTTCACTGTCACTATCGTAAAGGGGGAGATAGATGGGAGGCTAAGGGTGTACATATAGAGAAGCATATCCGAATCCAAATCCAAAAACGGAATCAGGAGCAGAACAGAGAAGCTGCAACTGGAAATAGACGGAGGAAACTTGCGGTGCACTTTGACATTTTGGCGCATGTTGAATCAGGTGAAAACCCAATTACATGTCCCGCCCTATCTAGTCGCTTCACTGGCGACAAAACGAAACGTGCAGACAAGTTAACATTCTGGCCAACTTTGGCCAGAGGAGAACCCACACTTGGTAACATTGCCCTCCCCCCACCCACCAGCCACCAGCCACCCGCCACCCATATCTCTTCGGGAAGTCCTTGTGCGCCCCCTGCTTATTACAGGAGTGGCGAACATTTTGTGGCCAAAAAGCACTGGCAAAAATTTGTATTTACTCTAGGAGAATTTTATAGATATTTTTTAAATTTGTATAATATACATATATTAAATAAAAGAACGAATATTCTATTAATTTCTCAGGCTAAATTGTAGAAAATTCAAAAAATATTACCTTTAAATTTAAAAAAATTAATATTTTTATATATTATAATTTCTGTCTAAAGGCAGAAACGCTGTGAAGGAATCATTTCCGACCCTATAAATCATATATATTCTTGATCAGCATCAACAGGAGAATCTTTCTGGACATTTTGGAAAGAAAAAAAAATTTTATCAATTTTTTCAAAATTCCATAACGGGTTACATCATTAAAATTCTCAAAAATAGGTCTTAATTTTAATTTTTAAAATTTTTAAATATATTATGCAGATTAATTAACCTATTAAAAACTAGCACAGAACTGCTTTCAGAATTAATATTAATGCAGTTTTGGCTTAGTTATGATATTTTTAAGGAATAAAATAATTGATAAAAATGAATAAAATATAAATTATTAAAAAAAATATATACAAAAAATTAATTAAATAAAAAAATTAAATAAAAAATTAAATAAAATATTAAATAAAAAATTAAATAAATTAAATAAAAAATTAAATAAAAATATTGAATAAAAAAAAAATAAATTAAAAACGATTAATAAAAAAACCATCGCTGTACACTATAATTCCCAACTGGTTCTAGCATTTTCTGAATGGTAACCCATCTGAATGCTGAGGTCGAGTGGAAGAGCTAGTGTGTTTGTGTGTTAATGTGTAAGTGTGGTAGTGGTTACTCTCTCCTAAAAGAGCTACTACTTGTTGTGTTTACGTGTATCATAGTGCTACTGGCTTATTTCCCATTTAAAAGGGAGATACAGAAAAGGAGTAGATATCACCGGAAAGATTCTGAGATCAAAGACAAATCAAGGATACTGATCGGTTGACCAGGAGGAACCTCTACAAACGTGAGTACACAAATTATTTATTTATTTTTTAGCTTAAAGAAAAAAAATAAAAATTCTTGCAGTGCTTTTGGGGAGTTAAAAACACCTGTGCATCTACCGAATGGCAGCTACTATCTCCCGAACTCTCGCACGCAAATTATTGTTGCAATGAAACTTAAGCTGCTTAAACTTGCTGGAACGCTTCCTTTTTGGCCAACGGATGATGGAGACATCATCGCCCTTGTGAGATGGGGGATGAGAGAGGAGGAGGAGGAGGAGAAGCAGTAGGAGGAGGAGAAGCAGTAGGAGGAGGAGAAGGAGGAGAGGTAGGAGGAGGAGGATGTGAGAGGAGGTGCCTGGAGGTTGCGGATGTTTAACCAGGTCTTTGGTGTTGAGCACACCTGAAATCTGGCGGGTCAAAATTGAAAAGCTTAATAGATAACGAGTCAGAGATTAAATGGCCAAGTTTAAAGGTAAGCAGAGAGAAATGTAAATAAATATTAGCTGAACCACAAATAAATTTATAAACATAATTATCAGCATTATTATAAATATTATTAGTATTATTTTCCTTGCCTAAACAAAAGTTCTTAGCTAAAAATTCAATAAAAATTAATTAGAAATACTTGAAAACATTCTAGAAAAACCCCTTGATTCAATAATAAAATAAGAGAACATATTTCAATAAAAAACACAAGTCAAGCCGGATCTTTGCTTAATTAAATAAAGTCCTTGAAACATCTAAAATCCCCATAAATACTCATTTAATGTTTTCATTAAAACGTTATGTGTTTTGTAAAACAATTTCATATAAATCATTGTTTATTTACAAATGCCCCGTGTTGATGGTCCGCCTGGCCCAAAACCATGACGAGGACAAGTGGCCAACGCATTTCCGACCTAATTAGGCCCAGAAAATGTGCCATTTTGGCCGTAAAATAAATGGCACAAATGCGAAATTAAATGGCCAAAGGACATGCGGCCATTTGATTGATGTCCTGGCCGATGTTTTTTTTGGGTTTTTTGTATTGGTTTCTATTTCTAAATGTAAATTAAAAATATTTATTAAAGAAAGTAAAACTTGACTAAGCATTTTTTATATATTAATATTTTTTTTTTTTATTATATTTGTTTATGTCTTTAAAAGAACTCAAATAATCACTTAATCTGTTGAATCTTTTATGTGTTTATTTGACATTTATTTATTTATTTATTTATGCCAAAACAAAAAGAGTTCTAAAACATATAAATATATTTGAATATCCCCCTCATCGTTTAATCCCATATTAAATTCACACAGCCAAATGACTTCACACTAGATTACCCCGCACCAGAGAAGCAATCCGATACCCTGGCGAATCCTTTGCCTTTCCCTTTCCCTATTCCCGCCCAGCTCCTAGCTCCCCAGTTCCATCTCTGTCTGTCATTCATATCAATTTCGCATATTTTATGACTGGCAAATGAAGCCGTTGGCAGGCAAACGAATATCTGCGTTGGGGTAACTCAGTCTCTGGCTGTAATAATATAATACAAGGGGTTGTGCCTCGTTGCTCCGGCAAATCGAATTGGGCCTCCCTCTAAGGCAGGCTAAGTAAACAAATCCAATTGGAAACGGAAGTGAACAGGTTCAGTGGGGCAGTAAGGAAAATGGGGAAAAGAAGGTAGCAAAAAATAAATATAAATTTTTTATTTAATAACAAAAAATCTGTAAAATATTAGAAATAAAAAAATTGTTTAAAAAAAGTACAGAAAAAATATATACATATTGAATTTACTAAAAAAATAATAATTTTATCAACAAAAATTTGTTTAAAAAAAATCCAAATATAAACTAATTTATTTTGGGCATCCAAAAAAAAACTAATTTATTTTGCGCATAAAAAATTAATAAGTTTATTTATTTACTTTAAAAATATTCAGAAAAAAATATATAAATAATTTATTTATCAACAAAAATCCTATAAAATTTTACTAATACTATAAATTTTTTACTATTTGCATTTATTTTAAGTTTAAATAATTAATATATTTATGTTGCACCATATAAATATTTTATTTATCAACAAAAATCCTACAAATTATAACAAATATGAACTCATTTAATATATTTAACTCTACTTAATTGACAATCGTTGAGCACATTAAACAAGTCCTTGACTAATCCGTAAATTACTCTGGGTTTATTTTTTTTTTGGTTTCAGCATAAACTCCGCATTATTCCGGCGGAAACGAGTGGCGGATTATAAGCAGGCGGCGGCTTAAGGCCCTAGAGCCGAAATATAAAAACAGCACCGCGGAGGACTCTCCGCAGATTCAGCAGGGATGACGACACCTTTGCGGCTGACCCGGACGGAGGATGGCAAAGGATGCCAGCTATGGCCGTATTATGCGCTCACACACGCTCTCCACGGCGATGCTGTGCCTGAGTTGATTACGTATACGCACCGTGCACTGAGTTGATTACGACGCTGGGAAATGTATGCCAAGTAATTTGCATAAACCGCGAATCGGACGCCCGCAGACAGACGCATTGGGATGACACAGATGATCGGCATCAAAGGAGCTGCAAATGGGCCCGTATCCGAAACTGAATCTTCAATAAAAAAAAAAACGAAGACGAAACCAACGAAGCAGGAGAATATAATGGGTAAGCCTTTAATACAAGTCTTGTTGCTGAGAAATTCTGGCGGGAAATTGAATATATATATATATATTTTTTTTTAATATATATTTTAACTTCACGCTATATATACATATATATTTAACACGAAAGGAAATCGGAACTTAGTCACCATTAAAAATGTAAATAAAGCGGATCGTAGAAATTGAACAACTAACTTCTGTTTGGAAGTGGATGCCATTTCTTCCTTGGCCTTTCCAATATCGACCACAAGCTCAAAGAGAGTGTCAACTCTCTCTCTCTCTCTTCGCTCACAGCTTCTCGTTTATTTCGCCATCCTTCACAATTCCGCCATTCTCTTTTCATTTCGCTCAACTCGCATTGATCGGTCGAAAAACACGCGGCTCCTGTGAAAACGCAGGAAAATCGTTGAAAAACGTTCGGAAAAACAGAGTGAGTGCAGTCATACATTTCTTTTTTCGTATAGTATTTCGTTTTTTATTTGGTTTCGCTCTCCGTCTTTGCCTTTGCATAGTTTCTGATGCACCGTTATTCGGCACACGCAGCAAAGCAAAGGATATTTGTGCATGTGTTACGGCCTCACACATATTCAAATATCATTTGCTCTACTCTTTCTCTCTCTGTCTCTGTCTCTCGTTATGCTTTGTGTTTCTGATTCTTGCGCTTGCAACAACATGTAAAAGCAAACGAAGGGAGCTCTCTCTTACAGAAGAGAAAGTAGAATACGATCCACATTTGTGGATTGGCCATTTTTGGGTTCTTTGCTTTGATTTACTGTTTGTAAACTAAAAGTGGAAATATATTTTACACACTAATTAAAACAAATCTAAATTAAAGACCTTAAATAATTAATTTTTAAAAGTTTCCTCTGCATATAAATTTTTTTTAATATATAGTAAGCATTCTGCTATATAAATATTTTTAAAATATATAGTAAACTTTCCCCTCAATGTCATACCTGTGTATATATTTTCTTATACCAAAACTTTCCAAAAAAAATCTTTGGCTCTGGGTAGACCATGAGTGACGACGGACAGCAGCTGTCCAGCGGACCCAATGTGTGTGGTCTGCATCTGAGCGGATCGGTGGGCTGGCTGCGGCATCCGATCTCCACCGAGGACACCATGGCCCGACTGGCCCTTAAGTACAACACCAGCATTGGTCTGATATGCCGGGCCAACAGGATGCATGGCCAGGATGTCCTGCAGACGCGTCGTCACATCTGGGTGCCATTGCCATCGCCGGATCAATGCCAAATATTTCCAAGGCAAATGCAGGTGGGAAGAGAGCAGCAGCAGGCACTGTTCAGTCCCACCAGTGCCACCGGTTCCTATCCCTTACGCTATCGCAGTTCACCCGAATGTTCTCCGAATCTGAATTACCTGGCCAAGGACAGTGATACCCTGCTGATCAGCTAGAAAAAATCAGGCATAACTAAACTTTTAAAAGTGATTTTCTTGTTTCTCTTGAATATGTTTCAATAAATTTGATAAGGCAGCCAAGTAGAGGGTATCTTCTCCGGCCTGAGCTTTTCTCTGGCGGAAACAAAAGGAGAGATGCCAAAAAAGGATGCAAAAAGGATGCGAAAAGGATGCAAAAAGGCGGCCAACAACCGCGACAACCGCCTGTCGCGCTGATTAGAAAAACCCCCTTTGGGCCATGTCTCGCACAGAAATTGGCTCTTAATTGTGGCAGAAAGTGGCAGAAGTGAATTTGCCAGGCAGCAGGATGCAATTAAGACATTCTGTCGCCGTTGCTCCTGTGATTTTCCCTGTTTGAGAAGCGCAGATAGCTAGGGTCCTGGCCGGAATTCAAGGGAATTCAAGGGAATTCAACGGAATTCGTTGGAGTTCCGCGTGCTTCAGTCCAGATAAGCCACCCGGGAATGACCCGGCTAACCTGCTTGCTCGCTGGTCATATTCAAATGTGAATATTAACTAATCCTGGACACCCACTCATCCCGAGGAGAGGAAGGACCTGAACCTGGACGTGAACGCGAACGCGGAATATGCGTACGTGCTCGTGTGATAAATTCACATTTTCCGGCTGACAAGCCGGCAGCCAGGACAATCGCTTCGGCATTGATAGACATGGCCAAAAAGGACGAAGGGGGCGGAGTCCAGGTGTAGCCAGGTGAAATGGCAGCCGTGAAACGTAGCGGAACGCCGGTGTCAAAAAGGAAGTGCCAACAAAAAAGCCACCGAAAAAAAGGCAGAGAGTGGCAGAGAGAGAGAGAGAGAGAGATGGGAAAGAGTGGGTGGTGAAAGTGGGTCGTGAAAATGGGTGGTAAATGGGTGGGGCATCCTGACACAAGGCAATGCCTAGTTGGTTTGGGATGCCACATTTTGTGCCTTTCTGACAGACGCAACTTTGAAATTGCTCTGATTATGCGAAGGCGAAAGCGAAGGACTGCGACGAGCATCAAGCATCGAATCTGGGTCCTTGGGACTCACAGGACTCGTCGTCGAAGCGGGAGACTCAATGGCATGTTGACAATGATAACGAAGTTGGTCATGGCTGGCTCTCTCTTTCCTTCTCTCTCTCTCTCTCCCAGGATAGTGTTGGTTTGAAAGCAAAAACAAAAGCTCACATCCCCAAATATCAAATGTCGCATGCCGGCATTAATATTTCATGAGAAATCATAGTTTGCTGATGCGTATAATTCAAAGGAATCGCAATCTGAATTAATTTTTCCAGCCAGGTGTCCTGGCATTTATATTGATTTGCTTTTTAGAAAATTTACATGGATTGATATTGATTGATGAGTGTGGGTCAGATTTTTCTTCTTAAATGCGAATGCATTTCTTTGGCTCAATGACCGAAAACCCAGTCTGAGGGCAAAGTTTTTAGCTGAAACGAAACTCATTTATTTGTTTTCCGCCGTGACAGTTGAACCATGTAATTATACACAGACAGCCAGGGGGGGAAGAGAGCTCCAAGTCTCCTCCGTCTCAGTTTCAGTTTCAGTTTCAGTTTCAGCTCGGTTTGGTTTGGTTTTTGGCGACTTATGAATTATGACAGTTTTGCACACCACGCACAACTTTTGGCCGGGGCTTTCAAATAGAAATTATTAGAAAGTTTAGGGGGGGGAGGAGGAGGGTAGGAGACAGCTGTAGCTGCATGAGATTAGTGCAAGGGGAATCCCAGCTTCGCTTTTGAGCATCGAGAAAATGAGAAATGGTTTTGCGGAATTTCACAATCCCAAGGCATTCTCTTCTCTCTCTTATATTGAACGTTTTTGAAGGTTTTACGTTGAGTTTTTGATTTATGTTTGTTTGCCAAGGGTATTCTCGAGCTGAAGGGAAACGGAAGCCATGGCAAAGTGGATGTCACATGGGGATTATGTTCATAAATGGCACATATGTATGTATGAATGGATGGAGAGCAGCTGCAGGCTGCAAGGCACCAGTTATGCGACAATGTGAAGGAATTAAAAAAAAAAAATAATAAAAAAATAGAAAGAATTCAGCATTGCCAAGAACTATTAAATAACCATCTCTAGGATCAAGTGGACTTTATTTATAGATTTTGTCATTAAAGAAACTGTTTTTCTTGGTAAATAAATATATTCTTCAATGTTAATAGTAAATATATTAATAATAAAATTATAATAAATATATTAAGCAATATTTTAAAGCTTTTATCGATTTGCTACAATTTTTAAGCTATAAATAAATATATAAAAAAAATTAATTAAATACAATTATTAAAAAAAATGAAATAAATAAAAAAATCCATCGCTGGACACTATAATTCTCAAGTGGTTGAGGTCGAGTGGTAGAGCTAGTGTGGTGGTGTATTAGTGTGTAAATGTGGTAGTGATTACTCCCTTCTAAAAGATCTAATACTTGTTGTGCTTACGTGTATCTTCTTTTTATTGCAGCTCAGTGCTACGGATTTATTTCCTGTTCAAGAAAGAAATAGAGCAAGCGAGCAGATATCACCAGCGAGATTCTGAGATCAGAGAGAAATCAAGGAGATTAAGGAGGATCAACCCTAGGAGAAACCTCGATAAATGTGAGTACACAAAATATTTATTTTTAAAGTTAAACATTTTTATTGGGTTCCAAATATCACTTATATTAGCATTGAAAAATATTAAAACTTGAAGACACAGCAAACAAATATCTAGCATTTTTGTAAAATTATTAAAAATGTACAACAATTTTTTCTTACTGAAAGATTCCCCCTGAAACTGCACTTTTTTCTTTCACTCTCAATGCTTCTCGCATATTTTGGCACTGGCAATTATTAATGGAATATATTCCAAGGCGCCCTGGCGCTGCATGCTGTAACAATCAACGCGACTCTGGCCAGATGCGGGTTATTGAATTACATTAACGACGCAGACGTTACGGGTTGGGAAGGGTAGCAGGGCGGGGAGTGTGGAGGACATCAGCGTCTTGAGTCGGATTCACACTTGTACCGCCATCATCATCATCATCATCGGGACAATCATCATTCATTCGTGCAATGTGGCATTCATTTATGCATTCATTCGCATCCCTGGCACTCGTCTCAGACTCATCTTCGTTTATTCGCTCATTTAAGCATTCGTGTTGTCGTTTCAGTTTCAATTTGCCTTGGCAACATTTTCGCAAATGTCTTTTTAATTGATTCGCAGCGATGCGAATGCTACCGAACAGGGGGAAACTCAGGGAAAAGCTCAGGGAAACCAGTGGGAAACCAGTGGGAAAGCTGAAGAAGACACCGTTGAAGGCAGCACAGCCGCTACTGCTGAGTGTAATTATAAATTGAATTAAAAGGCGCACATTTCGTCTTTTAATTCTGCTTGCTGCTTGAGCTTAATTAAAATTTCATTATGTCTCCCTCATATATACATATATATATATTCCCCAACTGAGGGATGGCTCACAGCCTGGTGAGGACACCCAAAAAGCGATATGTTTAAAATGCAGCACAAAATATTTGACAAGCAGCTTTACGAGCGAGCACTAAAAATACTTCTTCTCCATTAATGTTTGCCTAATGCATGCATAGAGTACCGCCTCGTCCTGTTCCTCAGACCCTGTCTTTTCCAAAAAATATATATATTATGCAAAAAAAGAAAAAAAAAACAACAACAAGTACTCCCAAGTGAGTAACGAAAAAAGAAACACCGAAAAATAGCTGCAAAAAGAGTGAAATGCCAGCGCAACTTGTCGACATGAATTGTTGTTGTCATTCTGTCTGGCAATTGCCCTTCTTGTTGTTGCTACTGTAGTTTATCGTCTTTGCTGTGTGTGAGAGCCTACACGGCAAGAAAATGTAGGTATTTCAAGTCATGTTTTTTAGGAGTTTATTGATAAAGCTAGAGTTTTACTAACACAAATTTATTATAAGCAAAACAGTTCAAAAATGAAACTACAACAAATCAGCAATATATTTTTAATTTAATTTTACATTAAAATTTGAATTTAAATTAATAACTACTAAAATAAATACACTTATGAATTGAAGATTAAAAATGTATTTAAAATTAAATCACCATTAAAAGTGATCAAATAGTATGCTAAAATTTACCAACACAACAGCTAAAAGATAAATTCTCTAATATAAATTTATCAATGAAAGTTAAATTACATTTTTATAAATTTAATAAATCTAAAATAATAAAATTTATTCATGTATCACAACAAAAACCATTAAAAACTTACAGTTTACTTAAAAAATTAATTATATTTCACTACACCAATAAAAAAACATCAAAAAGTAAACATGGATTCATCAACACAACAGCAAGGCGATAAATTCCCTTATAAAAGTTCATCAATGAACGAAAATAAACTCTTATAAATTTCAAAAATTATTATAAAATAAATTTATTAATAAATAATAACAAAAAACATTAAACCCTAATAGTTTACCAATGAAACTTTTTATATTTCAATAAACCAATTACATAAACCTCTAAACACTCTTAGAAAATATATTTTTAAATCATATAAAAAATTCCTTTCAGTGTAGTTGTTGTTGACGTTGTTGAGTTGTTGTTGTATTATGCAATGCAGCATTGTAGTAACAAAGCATAGCATAGTTTTTAGCGCAAATCAAAATGATTGATGATGATGGCCGCTCTAGATCTTGCACCCCTTCATATATGAGGCAACCCACACCCCCGCTTACCCCCATTTTAACCCCACTTTGTGTCATGCTTCCTGGGTAAACAAAAACAAACAAACAAAAAAAAAAAAGAATAGCTGGGTAGAGGGAGTTACATTCACTTGACAGTTATGGCTGCTGATATGCTGCAAATAAACTAAATAAATCCAGTTTTGTGTAAGGTCACGCCCCCCGCCTCCTCCCCTGTTGTGTTTTTGGCCTTTGTTCTTGACCATTTTTGAGTATTATTCCATTCAATTGTAAATCGAGGCAGCTCTCTTTGGCCAAAGTAGGCAACAAATCTTGGCTGGCAGCGGTTTGCATGGAGGAAGGAAGCCCTGGCCACAAGCACTTCATTAACATACACCGCACACAACGCTCGAGTGTGTGTGTGTGTGTG